TTGTCTTACAGAAATGGCTCAGGGATCAATCAGCAATGTGTATGTCTCATCCTCATCAGGTTCGGCTTCAAATGGGACAAGATTTTCTAACAGGTTGGATAAGATTGAGTTTTATGTTTAAAAACTAGTTCATAGACCCAGTATCATCTGCTAAATAGTAAAACTATATTATTTCATTTTTTATTGTTAATTGTTACATTGACTTTTTATTTAATTAAAAAGTGATCTAAATAGATATCTCAGAAACATTTTAATATACCAGCTTATCAAAAGACATCTTAAGAAATTTTCCTTTTCAGTTGCCAAAATTGACCATTTTGCCACTGAATTTGTAAGCTTCAAAGGAGCTGGGAACCAGATGAGGGCCAGACTACCTACTCCTGTCTTAAAGCTTCAAACAGGAAAAATATTAAAGAACTTCAAACATGTATATAAAATGAAGCTAGGCTAGTCTTATCAGGGTCCATTGAATGGATCCTCTGCCAGTAAGTGAAAACAATTCCCCATATGCTTCTTAAAAATGGGTCTGAACTTGCTCAAGTGAAGTAGGTTTTATAGAGCCCCACAGTTCCATGCCAAAGGTCAGCACTGGGACTATTTTTGCACTAAATACTTTCAGTATAGGTGTCAAGGTGCCTTGGTAATTGTAATTAGAACATAGAACTTAGAATAAGAGTTGGGACCTTGGAGGTCATCTGGTCCAACTCACTGCATGAGCAGGAGAGTCTATACCATTTCAGACAAATGGCTGTCCAGTCTCTTCTCTAAAACCTCCAGTGATGGGGCACCCACAACCTCTGAAGGCAAGGCATTCCATTGGTTGATTGTTCTCACCATTAGAAAATTTCTCCTTAGTTCTAGGTTGCTTCTCTTCTTGATTAGTTTCCATCCATTGGTTCTTGTCTTGCCTTCTGGTGCTTTAGTTTGTTCCCCTCAAGTACTGGAGCTCTACTATCATATCTCCCCTAGTCCTTCTTTTCATTAGACTAGTCATACCCAATTCCTGCAAATGTTCTTCAAAACTGGATGCAGTATTCCAAGCGTGGCCGTACCAAGGCTTTGTAAAGCAATACTAATACTTCCCACGATCTTGATTCCCCTGTTAATGCAGCCCAGGCTGCACACTGCTGACTCATATTTAAGTGATTGTCCACTAGGACGCCAAGATCCTAGTGTAAAAACCTTACTTTTATCCACATTGAATTCCATTAATTTGTAATTCGTGTAATAATAAGTAATTCATTAATTCATAATTTATATAAAATAGTTTTTAATAGTTGCCGCAGTTTAATATTTGGCCTTAGGAGTCTGCAGTTACCCACTCCTGGCTAAACATATTAATTGGGAAGGTGGAATTAAAAGATTAATGCAGTTTGCTCATTTTGCAGTGACTACTCAAACGGAGGAGATGGAATGTTGGCTACAAGTTCCAATGGATCTCAATACAGCGGCTCCAGAGTAGAGACACCAGTGTCTTATGTTGGAGATGATGACGACGATGATGATGATGACTTTAATGAGAATGATGATGATGACTGATACTTTTTGCCTGTAGACTTTTTTATTTTTAAAATTCAGCAAGCGGCAGGAATAAATTCTAGGAAGAGATTGTCAAAATTGTCTCATCAAGGAGATACTGGTAAGAGTCTGAATTTAGAAAATTGCACCTCCAATAAAGTAAAGATTGTTTGTTTTTTATGTAGATTTTTTTACATGTGATGAGGATGTGTGTGTTAATACCAGTGTGTTAATGCAGAACTTTTATTTA